CTCAAGTTTTGGAAGATTAAGAAGGGAAGCTCACTAAGTCTTCATCCTAAAGGTAAGATTCTACACCCTAAACCCTAATTTCAAAATCTTCTAAAAATGGGTAACTAGAAAGATAATATTTGGGCATAAGAGTTGTTTATTTTACATGCATGTGTTATCAAAGGGTGTAGAAAGATTGTTGAACTAAAAATGATAAAGATTAGGTTGTGGGATGATGGAATCCTTCATAAAAAGGACATTAAAACCGTATACACACCTAGTGTTTGATAACATGCTCAAGTGAGCTAAAACCATGATCATCTTCCTAATTTTGATTCAATTTGTTATATTTCTACAATAGATTGAATTTGCTAAGAATTCCGGAATATTTTAGAGTTTAAGGAAGCTCAATTGAGGTATGTTGGCTAAACTCTTCCAATTGAGGTATTGTACGTACACCTCCACCTGCATACATCGGGTGAGGCGGCGGGGCCACTTTGTGTGAAGATGGTTATAGATGATCTCATCTTAAATCCTATAAATGTTGTTGATAGCTTTTAATAAGATTGCTATGGTTGAGATGGTTATCTATATTATTCTATTGCCGCACTGGTTCATCATAATTATCTTATATTTCTAAATTCTTAAATTGGTGTTTAGTTTTCATACTAGTACTATTCGACGGTACTAACGTCCCTTTTGCCGGGGGCGCTGCATCTTTAAATGGATGCAGGTGGTTACACAGCAAGAGATATTAATCAGTGACAGCAGTACACCTTCTTCTCAGCTGACTTGGTGAGCCCCACTTCATCCCTGGGTCATGTATCTTTTGTTCTTTATGTATTATGGTTGAGGTATAGCCAGGGCCTTATTGCCGACATTATCATTGTACTCTTCTTCATCTATAGAGGCTTCGTAGACATAGTGTGGGTTGTGTATTGGTGCTGGAAAAGACAAACTATGCTATGTTGTGGTTATATTACTTGTCCATTTGAGACTTTAAAAATGGTGAAACTTATGGTAAGAAATTGGGAATTACAAACATGACCATTTTATCGTTTAATTAAGGAAAATATATGTTCTCTTTATTCATGAATGAGTTTGGGTAGAAGGAATCTAACAGGCTTGCTCGGTCGGGTTCACTCGGTTGACACGCTCCTCGATTTTGGAGCGTGACAACAGTGGCCTTAAATAGCTCTTGCTGCTGCATTTTCTTTCTTCCCAGCTGATGTGCAGCTCTTTTTTTTGGGCTCCTAGAGCTCTAGGTTTTCTATCTTTTTCTTTAGGTATCCTCTATTGTGTACTATATATAGGGAATATTTGTACAATGTCTATACAGAGGGTGAGGAGTGAAGGCGTGAGCTTGCTTTGGCTAGGGGATAAGGACGGGGGAATCCGTTAGGGAATTTTTGTGAGAGAATCAAAATGTGAATATTGGGGATAAGATGAAAGGAATGTGGAGAAATATTTTTCCAAAACTGAAATGGCCTACCATGAGAATTTTGGATAAAAAAGAATCAAACTTTGTTATGAAACTTTGTCATTTTGTGATGAGGTGGCATAATCTCATTTGCTCACCCTTTTATTTTTGGTTGATTTTTTTTCTTGAAAAATAAAATAATAATAAAAAAATCTACTCCTACTTATAAATCAAAAATAGCAAGGTAAAATTACTATATATTCAATATTTAATGATTAAAACCTCTCGCTTAAAATTAAACTGAACTTGACAAAAATATATATTTTGGAAATTTTTCTTTCTTTGTAACTGAAAATAACATTAATATCTGAGAGCATGACTATTTTTGTTGATTTTTAATTTTCTTAAGTAAAACCTATAAAAGGTAAAACAAAAGTTAAAATATGTAAATTAAACTTAAAACGATTTACATATTAAAAAGCGGTAAAAACTTTAAATATGATAAAAAATTAGGTGCTCACAACTGCTTCCACATTCTTTTCATTGAACGGAGCAAATCAAGTGGGATGAGCTTCATGATTCTTTCATCAAAAGCATATTATTTTGCATCAATCATCATTATTATCATAAATTGGTGCATTGGGACTCAAACCCAATGTCTTTCCCTCATAATGGTATGTTAGGCCAAAATATGATTGGACTCAAACCCAACTCTTATAATCAAGGTGCAACAGGACCCAAACCCGATATCTTACCCTCATGATGCGCGGGGAAATGAACCCACCGTCTTATTCTTATATAACGTTTATCACAAATTGTCTCGTTCACTTCAGGAATTGGAACATAATTTTACATAACCATAAATTCAAACTTTAGTAAGTTCAACATAGTAAACAATATCGTAATAAATAAGTGAATTAAAAATGATAAGAAATATTATCAATGAAAGTTTTGATCCAATACATTTTTGTGTACTAATATACTATATGTAAACTTATCAAAATCAAATGTTATCTTCATTCGTGGCCCGTGACTGGAAGATTTTTTTTTTATTATTCTTCTTCACAAGCAATGAAAATATTAATCTAGATGAATAACATAATTAAAAGAGATATATATGTCAAAATAAGAAAGTATGTAACATATATTGTATTGAAGCCAGGAAGACAAGTAATCTTAAATATTAGAACGGGTAAGAAAATTTTCTAATCGTTTTAAACAATTCAGAAAGTAAGTTTCAATAAACACTAATCATCACACTAAATGTTACGTCAAACTCAAATGGCAAAATACTTGGTAATTGTACTTAATTCTTACTGGTTAACGTGTCTCAATAGCTATTAAGCTCAATATTAACAATATCATTTATGAACTACTAGAACTAACTATTGTATCAAACATTTCCTTTGCAAATAATTAAACATTCTGGAACGTATGCTTCGTGAAGGTTAAAAACAAAACATGTAGGCAATANAATGATCATTCTGCTTTGTATGGTTATATAGAAGTGATTATAATCACAAATAAAACTTAAAGCAAATTTCACATAAAAATGCATAACTTTAAAAACAAGTACCTTTTTCCGAAGAGAAAAACACAAACTTAAAAAGAGTTAGCAAACCAAAAAGGGGATAAAGTAATATTGGAACATATCATCTGATTTGCTTCAATGAGCAGCACCATCAAACAGTTCAATCTCAAGGAGAAAATCAAATTCAATTTGAAGGCAACAATAGGGGTTGACTCGTGTTGATAACGTGTTATAACATATAGTTCAAAGTAACAATATAGAACTAGGAAAAACAAGCTAAGAGATATAGAGAAAAAAAGAGGAGAGATTCTTATTTCTTCTTCAATTGTGTCATATTTCCTGTCCATTACAAGACATTTATATAAGCATAAAAAGTGAAGAATCACTATTGTTAAAATAGTGAGTGGAATGACCATTATTTAGTGGAATGACCACTAGTGAGAGAAATGACCACTATTGAGTGGAATAGTCACTACATAAATATGTCATTGAATATTTTATTAAGCATTTGAGAGGAAGATCATGTAGTGGTTATAGAGATAATGGAGAAGAATAATGAGCATTACTCCTTTGATGGTTATGGACATCCACCATAATTTAAGATTTTATCCCAGAAGATATTTATTTAATAGGATGATCTCCCTGAATGATAAGTGGGGAAGGGAGTTGAGAATTTGACTAGGAATTGGAACACATCATGAGTAGTCACTTTTAAACTTTACAAATCATAAGGCAATATAAAAAAAGGAATGACAGTCAAATTCCTTTATAACAATTATTATTTATAATAATACTTTATTATAATGATTAAATTTTTTATAAAATATTTTTTTATTTTATGTTATAATATATATTTTATATAATAATACTTTATTATAATATTCAAAAAATATCGAAATAATTTATACGGTTATAAATAGATTTGATTGTATTATTTAAGCGTGAAAGAGTTCTAAAGTCCCACGCAACAAACATATGGCTCCTATTACTGCTCCACTCAATACTAGTTTTATCTAACAGAAAAGAAAAATCATAACAATTCTCTCTTTTTCAGCCTTATAAAGCTTAAATTCTATCAAATTTTCATAAGATTATCTCTAACAACTTTTTTATACAACATCTCTTAACAACTTCAATAGTGTTAATTTCCTTCTTTTTCACTTACTCTGTCCGTCTAGTTATTTAGTGTATTTTTTGTTACTGTCATTTATACCATAATACAAATACAAATTAAACTGATATCTTAAATTCCATACCAGTCAAATACGAGGCATAAAATGTATTAAAATTTTGGCACCTCTTTCCAAGTCAACTATACACAAAAATCGCCAAGTTTAGGTGCCTTCTCTTATGTATTTGGCCATTTGTAATTCTATTCGTGATACTCTAAAGTCAAATCTAATGAATATATGAAATGTGTCTTTACATAAAATATTATCACTTAGCGTGGTTAATTATTACACTTTCTTAGCTCACTTTATACTTAACTATAGTAAACTATATGGTTTGCTATAAACACCAATATTTATATCCCTATAAACCCATGTGTTTATTGTTTACCTACAAAAATCAATGTGAACATTTGATTTTTAGTAAAAGTGAAACCATTTGCTAAAACTCAAGTTTGTTACTATTAACTTTTGTCTTCTTGTTTTAATTGCTAAAATAGTACTCTTTCCGGTTCACAATAAGTAATATTTTTTTTTTTTTTTTTTTGATCCAAAATAAGTGATTTTTCAGATTTTAAGAATGAATAAATTAATTTTTTCCTACAATTGCCATTGGAATAAATAGTATTGGAGTATGTATTAGAGTGTTTATGTGAAGAGATATTAAAGGTTAATATAATTAATTTTATTGTTAATTCATGTTAAAAAGTGAATTTCTTAATCGGTGTTAAAACAACTAAAAAAAAAAATCAGTTATTGTGGAGCAGAACTGAGTATAGTAAGCTTTATTTAACAGATAAGATTCTTGATTATGGGGTTAAGCACTTTTCTAGTACTTGACTTTTGGTTGCTTTCTCTAGTATTTAATAACTTTGAAAGTTCAGTTTGAAGTCCTTTTTTCAAGATTTGTTGTTTAGTCATTTTTATCACCGGGTTCTCATTTTCTTGTTTTATTTAATTCCTGCACTATTCTGTTGTTTTTTGCTTTTATTAGCTACCAAAAGTATTTGTTAGCAGATAAATTTGCATAAATAAAAGAAACCATTCTTGATTTCACAAGACTCTGGTATTTGGTTAGCTCAATTGTCAGCATTCTTTATTGAATTAAGTTAGTGGGGTTGGTTTTTCTCTCTTCTATTCAAGAAAGATTGAGTCTTTCTTGGAAAATTTTACCTTTTTTTTTAGTGGGGTTTAATTTTTTCCATTTCTTTAGAATTCTTGGTAAGGGATCATTGATCAATATGAAATCTTTAGTGTTCTTCAAGTTGTTTAGAGTGCTGATTTTGTCTCTGTTATTTGTATGTGTTTTGAGTAAGGAGTGTACTAACACTTTTACTCAACTGTCATCACACACTTTTAGATATGATTTATTGTCCTCAAATAATGAAACCTTGAAAAAAGAGATTTTTAGTCATTACCATTTGACTCCTACTGATGATTCAGCTTGGTCTAATTTACTTCCTAGGAAGATTTTAAGGGAGGAGGAAGAATTTAATTGGATCATGATGTATAGAAAGATAAAGAATTCTGGTGAATTGAAAGAAATTGATGGTTTATTGAATGAGGTTTCACTCCATGATGTGAGATTAGAGCCTAATTCAATGTATGGAATTGCTCAACAAACTAATTTGGAGTATTTGTTGATGTTAGATGTTGATAGATTGGTTTGGAGTTTTAGGAAAACAGCTGGTTTTGAGACTGTTGGTGAACCATATGGAGGTTGGGAGGCTCCAAATGGAGAGCTTCGCGGTCATTTTGTCGGTTAGTTCTGTTTTATATCTTTTAGCATTTGACTTATTTTTATTAGTTGTAATAGATGATGTGAATTCCGCCTTTATGAGATTGTTCACATTGCCTATCCCAAGCCCGGATAAAGGAGCGAGAGTTGCAGTAGGTTGACAGTCAGCATAAAACTAGTCAATTTATTATGAAATCCTCAAAATACTAAATGTATCATTGGGACGTGCTCGCTTAGGCAAACTCTACATTTTATATAATATTGGTCTGCGTTGATCATAAATGGAATGACATGATCAGTCATGATTCATATATCCGACCCCAACTTGCTTGAGATTGAGGCATAGTAGTAGTAGTAGTGGTTGTTGTGTTGTAATTGATGATGTGCATATTTACGTATGGGATTTTGTTTGTTCGCAGTACTTCTGATTTTCGTGTTGAATTGGAAGAAGAGTCGAAATATCTTTTCATTACAGTAATTGAGATGGCCTCTTAGGACAGAATTTTCCAAACAATTTGATTTTACTGTCTACTGTTTAAAGCTGCATATCTGTGCTGTTGTATGCATTAAATACTTCATGAATATGAATTGTTATTGTGGCCGCTTTTTGTTGATCTCCTGAATGTATAATCTGTTACAATCTTTGTTACATGATTCAAGAATCAAACTCAATAGGTACCTGATGTTACTTTGAGAAACAACTATTTGTAATATTTCAGAATATGTTCCTTTTTGATCATTTTTATACAAACTCGTATCATTTTGCTTCATCAAGTTTATTTCTTATATGTTATATCCATGGTATATTATATTTTAACTGATATTCTTTTTGTAACTTTTAGGTCATTACCTTAGTGCCATGGCACAGATGTGGGCTAGCACCCACAACGACAGTCTTGAAGAGAAAATGTCAGCAGTTGTTTCTGCACTATCTGCTTGCCAAGAAAACATGGGTACAGGGTACCTTTCTGCCTTTCCATCTGAGCTATTTGACCGCTTTGAAGCTATAGAACCAGTATGGGCGCCATATTATACGATTCACAAGGTGGATGTGCTTCCGGATTCGATTCTTGTTACTTATCGACATATTTTTTGCTCTTGAATAAATGGTTTTACTCAAATTGGACTTTTGACAGATATTGGCAGGTCTTTTGGATCAGTATACTTTAGCGGGCAATGCTCAAGCTTTGAGAATGACTACATGGATGGTTGATTACTTCTACAATCGGGTGCAAACTGTGATTTCGAAGTACACCATTGAAAGGCACTGGGATTCATTAAATGAAGAAACTGGCGGCATGAATGACGTTCTTTATAGGCTGTACAGAGTAACGGTGCGTATATTTTGCCCAGTACACAGTCTAACCTTTCCTATCATAATAGTTTCAGTTCACTAATTTATTGTCAAATGTCAACAGATAAATCAAATACCTATTGAGTGCAGTGAACTTTGATAAAAATTGTAGATTTCGCCATTTAGGGGCTTGAATCTGCATTTTCTGCCTTTGCATTGTTATTTCATGATTCCGACCAACCTTCAACAACAACAACAACAACAAACAACCCAGTGTATTCCCACAAGTAGGGTCTGGGGAGGGTAGTTAGTACGCAACCTTACCCCTACCTTATGCAGGTAAAGACGTTGTTTCCGATAGACCCTCGGCTCATTCCGACCAACCTTCATTGTTATATATTGTGCTTTAGTAAATCAGGTAAAATTGCATAATTTCATATAAGCTATTTTTTGGCAAAATGCAGCTTTTCCGAGCAGATATGCATATATTCTCGTTGTGTATCATCTGTCTTGTCTCTTACAACTATTGTTTTTGCATAATCCTGTTTTTTATCCTCCTATAAATGCTATTTCAGGGAGACTCAAAGCACTTATTGTTGGCTCACCTTTTTGACAAACCGTGCTTTTTAGGGCGCTTAGCTGTCAAGGTACAAATCCTTGTTCTCTCCAAATTTTCATTCATTGTGACAGACTAAATATCGACTAGTATCTATTCTCATTACTTTCTATAATTCAACTAATTGCTGTCTTGAATTTAACTGGAACATCTCATTTGCCCAAGATATTAGTATGAATCAAATTCCTTATTGGGAAAGTCATTTGACTTGTCTTTTCTTGGACAGACTTCCATTTTTCTTTAGATTTTGTGTAGAAGTTCAAATCAGTCTTGCTATTAGAAAATGACCTTTTTGGATCTCTTACGTGTAAAAGACAAATCTCTTACGTGTAAATGTAAATCTCCCATGTGTAAAAAAAAAGAGGTAGGGTCATAAAACTAAAACAAGTTTGTAAAGAGCCACAAAACCAATTGACCCGTGCTTTTGTATGTTGATAGCTGAGTATCAAACGTAAAGGTAGTATCGCCATAGTTGCTTATGTAACTAAATATGGCTTTTAATCATATAATGTCTGTTTTCCTTTGGGTTTAGGCTGATTATCTATGATCCATGATTACTACCAGTTGGATGTGTGACCAACATTAACTTTATTGCTTGATGTCTTTTTTGTTTTTCTTTCTTCAGGCCGATGATATATCAGGTTTTCATGCAAATACGCACATCCCAATTGTAATTGGATCTCAACTGCGTTATGAGATTACTGGTGATCCACTTTACAAGGTAAACTATTTTGCTTTTGGAAGTCTATCTTCTCAGGGATAAGCTGTTTCTGCAGTTCCAGAATTTCCAGTTTTCCCTTTCAGTACTAGAATTGCAGATGTCATGTCTCTTTTGCCTGCTACAAAATCTAACAGATATAGGCTTTTTTCTTTTCTTTTTCTTTTGTTATTCTTGTTAGAGAATAAATTACGCAAAAAGGTGTGACGTAGGGCATTGAGAACATATCACGATGTGAGTATATTTAATGACATCAATCCTGATTAAGATAGTTTCTCACAACATTTCATTGTGTTTGTAAATCCTTAATAGGAAATCGGGATGGTTTTCATGGATATTGTCAATTCTTCCCACAGCTATGCAACTGGAGGGACATCAGTCAATGAATTTTGGTAAATACAGTCTAATTAATCTAATTTTTGATAAATCAGTTCTATTATTTGTCAATTAAGCATATTATGCACAAAGTTAATGTATAATGTGCTCCTTTCTTTTTCTCACTTCATTTAAAGTTCTTTATTTCTCTCCTTCTCTTCTATACCAACCTGAGCAGGTCCGATCCGAAGCGGTTGGCGAGCACACTAAATACGGAGAATGAGGAATCCTGTACTACCTATAATATGCTGAAGGTGTGCTCATGAAGTTGTTTCATTTTCGCTCCTAGGGAAGAGAGGTTATAGTGCCTTATGTGTTTATTCATGCATAAATGCTAAACGTTTGTAGGTTTCGCGCCACCTGTTCAGATGGACCAAAGAAATGGCATATGCTGATTATTACGAGCGAGCATTAACAAATGGTGTGCTCAGCATCCAAAGGGGAAGAGATCCTGGAGTGATGATATACATGCTTCCACTTCATCGTGGTGGTTCTAAGGCTCGGAGCTACCATGGATGGGGATCTCCGTTTAATGACTTTTGGTGCTGCTATGGAACAGGTGTTAGAATCAATATCCACTCCAATTTTCCATCCTTCTTCTCTGGCAAAGAACACGTCTTCTTTAAGTTCTCAGAAACATCTCAAATTCCTTGTTAAAACTTCCTCTGGTTCTCATTATCTCTTACAATGTGGCAGTGCAAATTCTTTTTACGCCTGCTACTTCACATGCTAATATCAAATTTCTGACATTCCAATTTTACCTCGGAGATCCATAGCTTTTTTCTAAGGACGGATCTATAACTAATAAAACCAGAAAATGAATTTAATTTGTAGTTTTCCTTTTTGTCCTGTGTAGGAATTGAATCATTCTCCAAGTTGGGAGATTCTATATATTTTGAAGAGAAAGGGAATTCTCCAGGCCTTTATATTATCCAGTATATATCTAGCTCACTTGATTGGAAGTCCGGGCAAGTTCTGGTGAGTCAGAGTGTAGAGCCTGTTGTTTCGTGGGATAATCGCCTTCGAGTGACAATTACAGTCTCCTCAAAGGGGGTACGCATTCTAATTTATTTTGTCCCTTTGATATCTTTCCATTCGTTGAGAACTTTATTTGGCAATAGTACCTCAAATTGCGTCTCTCATTTCGTTGGGAACTTCATTACTATTCCATAGGATGCACTAGGTACAATGTTGTGTTTTCTGCAAAGTTCCCATTAACCCTTTACCTTTGTTGAAAATACTGCTATTGGAACATAAACTATTACATTCTTTCGATATTGTTTCATTCAGAGTGCATCATCTACATTGAATCTGAGAATACCAAGTTGGACAGATTCAACTAGTGCAAAAGCATCTCTGAACGGAGAGGATTTGTCTCTACCCCCACCAGGTCGGAATTTTATCACGTCAATTTTTCACCTAGATAATGCCCTTTCTATAATTTTCTGACTTTTTGACGCAGGTAACTTCCTAACGATAACCCGGAGTTGGGGCTCAGGTGACATAATCACCCTCGAGCTGCCCATGAGTCTTGGGACAGAAGCCATTAAAGGTAGTAAAATTAAGACGTTTCTTTGTCTTATCGATGATATATGTTCTATTCATAAAAGCTAAGGGATCATATAGTTTAGCTGCTGATGAATTCTTGTATATGGTGCTTCAGATGACCGGCCAGAATATGCATCGATACAAGCAATTCTTTATGGTCCATACCTTCTTGCTGGCCATTCTAGCGGTGATTGGGACGTCGAAACAAAGTCAGCCACTCCACTTTCAGATTTGATAACTCCAGTTCCAGCTGACTATAATTCTCATTTAATATCTCTCACACAAGAATCTGATAACGCAACATTCGCTCTAACAAGCACAAATCACTCGGTTCAAATGGATATGTACCCTGAAGCCGGAACAGATTCTGCTCTCAGTGCTACCTTCAGACTCATCTCAAATGATAAAGTATCTGTCAAGCTTTCCGAACCACAAGATTTTTTCGGGAAACTAGTCATGTTAGAGCCCTTTGATTTTCCCGGAATGTTCATAACTCATAAAGACCAAAGTCTGGCGATCACTGAGTCCTCAGATGGCGATGGTTCTTTGTTCCGTTTGGTTGCTGGATTGGATGAGAAGGATGGGACAGTTTCGTTAGAATCTGATGCACAAAATGGTTGCTACATCTATAGTGGTGTGGACTACAAAGACATTTCAAGTGTCAAACTAAACTGCAATTCAGAGTCCTTAAGTGATGAATTCAAACAGGCAGCAAGTTTTAAGTTGGGAAATGGGATTACTCAGTATCATCCTATTAGTTTTGTGGCAAAAGGGGCTATGAGAAACTTTGTTTTAGCACCATTACTTAGCTTTAGAGATGAGTCTTATACTGTGTATTTCAACATTCAATCATAGTGGTTGTAAAGGGAGGCTAAGAGTTGGTTCATATAACAATAACACTAACAGCTTGTTTGGATGGTTGTTATATATTGAATTGTATCGTATTGTTATTTTAAATATAATGTTTGTTTTTATTGTTACTTAAATTTTATTTTATCGTATCGTTAAATCTATCGTTACATAGCGACGAAAAGTGCCCCTTTATGGAACGACAGATTTGGTATGATGGTGTCGTTTTCTTACTTTTTTCTCTCATCTTACTCTTCCTTATAATTAAATAATCATATTTTATTCTTTACCCTACTTTTTTATATAATAATTCTACTTTGTATCCTATTTTTTCTTAGTAATGTTGCAAGTTTATTCTTCATATTATTGGTGAGTGACATCATAAAACGACGACAAATGATACAATCTATCAAAACGTTGTATTCATCAAACATACAATACAATGCAGTACAATATAATATGACATATTGTGAAATGACATGTAACAGCAATCCAAATAAGTTGTAAGTTGTCCTTTGGTTTGTTGTTTTAACATATACAATCCCATCATAAAATTTCGCATAAGTTATACAATGTTTGGTAGATCATACAAGAAAAAATAATCACCGCTTAACTTAATACAAGGATTGGTTGGTCTTATTAGAATCTGCATTACTAATATCCATGTAAGTTATGCATGAATTTATATATATTATTTATGCATGGTAGAATATGAAATAAGAATAAATATATTAGCATACATGAATAATAATAACTAAAAGCAAAAAATAAAATAAAAAAAGAATATTTAAATTAAGCAATTTTCGTATAACAATCTTCACCTCATAATAACATTTTAATGCATCTCAATTATTCCATTGGATATTGTATTTTCCCATTAACAATCTTCACCTCATAACAATATTTTAGTGCATCTGAATTATTCCATCGTATATCTGCATTTTTCCACCAGTACAAATATCATGTAACTCAAACCGATTATTGTTTAGTTAGATGAGAAAGAATCATTAAGACTTATTGCCTCTATTGGATCTTGAACTTTCATCGACATTTACACCACATCATTGAGTAAAATTTATTTTTTCTTTTCTTGTTTGATTATAAGGGTTTGTTAATTCACATAATTCCATCAATTTCTGTAATTATATCAGTTTTATTGATCACGAGTAATGCTCTTTTGATATGATCAGTCCTCAGATCAAATACTTAACACTCGAGCAAGAGAATTAGTAGGCATTTGGCCATAAGTTTTGGATTGTTCAAATATGTGTTTGTTTATAGAATTAATCTAGTTTTTTGGGGAGATCTTAACAACCAAAACTTCAAATCTAGCTTAAGACCTCTTTTTGGGCCAAATCACGATCATTTGAGACTATTTAGCTAGAAAAAAAGGAATAAGTCAAAGCTTGCCCCAAAATTCATGTCCAAACACATTTTCAATTTCAAATCAAACTTCACCCAAATTAGGTATTTCAAAATATATTTGNTTACCCCCACCAAAAATGATTAAAAAAATAAATAAAACGAATACTACAAGAAGAAAAAAAGGAGAAATATATTTGGGGGAAACTGTCAAGCTGTAACTTCCTCTATAGTCTACCTACGCTACTCCCATTTCTCTAATTCTTCAACTATTTACCTTCAAACCCTTTTTCTCTTAATTTTCTTCCATTACCCTCACAATGCTTCTCTAATTAGCAAAAATAAAGATTTTGGCTTTGGAATTCACATTCTTTACCTGATCTTGTTGAAGTGCACAGTATCCACCAAATACCAATTACACCCTTTTGAGTTTCTTCTGATTCTGTGGTAATAATCTTTAAACTTGAAGTTAATTGTAAATTCTTGAAGTAATTCATGTTTTTTAACTTCTACGTACTTTGCATTTTTGTTTGTTTGTTTAATTTAATTAATGTAGTAATAATCCGTAAGCTTAAATTCCAAAATTTTGAGTATATGTCTGGTTTAGCGGGCGGTTGTGGATTATTAGAAGCAAAATGTGGTGAAGTAGGAATGCAATAAGAATGATTTGAAGTTTTAGCATTAAAACTTGAAGTTAAAGAAAATTAGGGGACTAATTTGACATAAGCTCAACTGGTTTCTAACTATGCTAAACATATGGTTTGAATTAAAATTGATAGTACAATGTTTGATTGGGGTGCAAAGAGGAAGGGTAGGAGGGCTGGCAGTAAAAGAGAAGGACTCGGGGATTGATAAGGAAGTAAAAGAGGAGGAGAAATAGAAGCAGACAAGTAAATTAATGAATTTTGTGTTCTTTCGCATCCCCCTCTCCCCTTGGTGAAACCAAAGAGATGTGGAATCTGTTCCTAAATGCATTTATGGTGGTGCTACTAGATTTAGGTTTGACTTCGGATTACTTCAGAAAAAGTATATCCACATCTCACCACATTCAAAAATACTGTTTTCATCCTATCAAAATATGTTAAAATTGTATGTACTGTTTACATTAAAAAAAATAAAGTAAAAGAAAAAAGCATAGTAATGGTGCTTGATGACGCTCTTCTACTAGTAAATCAAGGGTGAGAAACAAGTATTTCTAGCTAGATTGGTAGATCAATAGAGAAGTCTAGCCACAATCATTATTGGTTTTTCTAGGTTCTTTTCTATTCCTCGATAAGCAGACTGTTGGAGCAGGAGGGGCGATATCTGCTTTCGGTTGATAGAAATTGCTTAACTTTTATCCCTCCTGTCCGAAGTCGTCATAAAAATTACAGTAGAGAAAGTTGTTTTCTTTTTCCCGAGAGAGTAGCATTGGAGAAATCTCAGTGGAGAAGGCTTAAATCATATGACTCTGAGGTCGTCTGACTCCTTATTAATGATCTTTGGATCGACCTGCTCATCCTCAGAATTCGAAAGAAAAATGAGACAAAATTAACACTGAATGAATTGACCTTGTTTCAGTGACATATCTTATCAGATTGAATAAGATTTGGTTTATATAAATTTGAGTAGGCTAGGCCTGATAATAGTGTCTGTTCTATTCTCGATTACGGCTGCTATCTAAATGGTGCCGTCCAAACACCATGAGGTGAAAAGTCAAATAATGTGAATCCAAATCCTAAATAAAAGTTGGACCACTGCTTTCTGGTGCATTTCCTACTTCTCACATGCTATTTCAGTATGTTCGCTATTATTAGTTAAGTGGTTAAATATTTTCTCCTTTCTATCTAACATTATGAAGGCTCTAAATCACCCTCTCTGTTTCTTTGATCACTTCAACAGAATTTCAGGATTAGTGCATTCTTTGGACGTCTTTATCAAAGGACCACCTATGCAGTGATCCGGTGTGAGGTTTTCATTTAGAAACTTGAAAGTAATGGGAAGCAGTAAATTTCCAAAGCGTTTCTTAATTGTATTTTTGACCTTCATCTGCACCTCAGTCTGCTACATAGAACGTGTGGGATTTTCCATTGCGTATACTGCTGCTGCTGATGCTGTAGGAATAAACCAGACTAGCAAAGGTGTAATTCTTTCAACCTTTTATTATGGTTATGCCTGTTCACAAGTACCTGGCGGCTGGGTAGCGCAAAAAATTGGGGGACGGCGTGTCCTCCTCTTTTCATTTGTGTTGTGGTCTCTAACCTGTGCTTTTGTACCCCTCGACCCAACTCGACCAATGATCCTAGTAATAGCCCGCTTGCTTGTTGGAGTGGCTCAAGGTTTCATTTTTCCGTCTATTCACACTGTCCTTGCACAGTGGGTACCACCACATGAAAGATCGCGATCTGTTTCTTTTACAACTTCTGGGATGTACTTAGGTGCAGCTATGGGTATGCTTATGCTTCCTAGCCTGGTAAAATTTAGGGGTCCGCAATCTGTATTTCTTGCTGAAGCGTTTTTAGGCGCAATTTGGTCTCTAATCTGGTTCACTTATGCAACCGATCCCCCTCGTTCTGATCATCGAAAAGCAACTGCTTCCGGCTTTGGAGAATCCTTACTTCCCATCAGAGGGAGTTCAAAGATGAAGGCAGAGAATGGAGTACATTCCACTAAAATCCCTGGAATCCCATGGAAGCGCATCCTCTTTAGCTTACCGGTTTGGGCTATTGTCGTTAACAATTTTACCTTTCATTATGCTCTTTATGTGCTCATGAACTGGCTTCCGACATACTTTGAATTGGGTCTCCAGCTCAGCCTTCAAGAAATGGGTTCTTCTAAAATGATGCCATACTTTAACATGTTTATATTTTCAAATATTGGTGGGGTGATTGCGGATCACCTTGTCACCAAGAAAATCCTGTCTATTACTAAAACCAGAAAAGTTTTGAACACAGTGGGTTTCATGGTTGCTTCTGTTGCATTGATGGCGCTTCCATTGTTCAGAACATCTGGCGGCGCTTTGTTTTGTTCCTCTGTGGCCCTTGGTTTCTTGGCATTAGGAAGAGCTGGGTTTGCAGTTAACCACATGGACATTGCTCCAAGATATGCTGGAATTGTTATGGGAGTTTCAAATACAGCTGGTACATTAGCTGGAATTGTTGGGGTTGACCTCACTGGTCGACTACTAGAAGCTGCTAAAGCCGCTGAATTGGATCTTACTAGTCCAGATAGCTGGAGAGTCGTATTTCTCATCCCAGGGTTGCTTTGCATAGTTAGTTCTTTTGTTTTCCTAGTGTTGTCCACCGGGGAAAGAATTTTTGACTAAAGTGTTTGTGAATATACAGTGGTTTATCTGTAAGTATATTTTTGGAGAAGCATTTCTAGGAAGAATATAGCATAGTTTAGGCTCTACAGTTCAAATTGGAAAGTTCCTGGAAATGGCTACTGGTCATTGGGGCCATTAATACATTCTTCAATCTGAATTCTTTCTATCCTGCTCATTACTGAAGAAAGATATTTATACAAAGATCAAAAGGTTCTATCAGCAATTGCGACTTAATTGACAGTTCTTCTAGGACAGATATATTGCTTCTTGGTCCAGCTGTTTCCGTTAAATATACTGGTTGCTTTTTGGAGCTTTAACAAGCTTAGGTTTTGATTATCTATACTTTGAACTGTCAACCAAGGTGTTCCATGGTGGTAGCAGACGTTTCCTCAGAAAACAAAGGTGTTTAATCTGAACATAAGCATATAGGAAATAAATGGTAGA